GAAAACGAGGACGCCCGTAAAAAACTTGTAAGAATCATTTACACTTACAAATTATAAAAAAAAATACCTGTTATAATATATGAATGGTTTTAACTTATATACACACATACTTATGTATATGAATATATAATTTTTTTTGCAGCACGATCATTTGCTACGCCTAGGAGGAAGTAAATTAAACGAATTTTTAAGTTGTGGTTTAAAGGCTGCAAGGTCAGACGAGCATGTTTCAAAGTTTACTTGGCACACGCAAAAGGAGACCGAGCAGCTAGGAAATACGAGACTGTCCAAAATATTATACCGTGAGTATGAAATGCTATTTCTAAGAAACTAATCAATTTACAGTGCTACGACTCCGCTCTCAATAAAATGTATATTATTCTATTTGTATATTGCTAAATTACGTATATAACAAATAGATGTTGTTGGTTACAAAGAATTATTGCTTTATTGTTGTATTTGTGGGTCGTACAAAACGCATGGGTTTAACTAACGCTGAATATCAAAAACCTTAACAAATAAAAGTACATGGGTAAAAGTAAACTAGGTACAATGGAACATACATACGGACATAGGTTAAACGAGAGACCAGTTTTCACTGTTCATCTCAGCATTCTACTTGACTGCAATTGCTAGAGATCAGCTTTGCGCTGTTCATCTAAGTAATCACAGCACATACATACATACTGCAGACATACCCTGCAAAAAATGGGACTAAGCCGGGAGCAATCGCAAAGGAGCATGCGACTAATACCACTTTTGATCTCTTTATATGGAATGAACTGATCGCTTTTGTTCGAGCATGTCCTATGAAGAGACTAATTGTTCACCTTTATACCCGAATGGGTATAAAAAGCGACTAGTCACTTTTAAAAAATAAAAATAAAAATTTGCGCCAGCTGCGATTCGAACCGAGGCGCTCAGTTTTGTTAGGCGAATACTCTCTCTATGTGCCATCGCCGCACATGAAATTTCATTTACTAAGTGCGCACATGTCATTAAATCGTTAATAGTTCCCGTTAGAGATGAGTCGGGGAATAATTGATCTCCAATTATACCCGTAAGGGATGAGTCGAGACTAATTGATCTCCAATAGTACCCGTATGAGACTAGTTGCGACTAATTAATGCCCAATTGTAACCGATTGAGAGGAATCTCGGAATACTCTCTTTAGATATTAGTCGCACAATTTTTTGCAGGGTACATACAGAGAATGTACCAATGCTATAGACCAGCTTTACGATGTTCATCTAGTTAGCGGCACTTACAAAGAAAGAGACTAAACAGATA